ATTAGCATTTACTCCACTGGCCTGGCCTCGCTCCGTTCCCACGGCTCTCGGACCCGCCCCTCTCGTCACAAAGACCAGGACCATTTATTAGGAATTTAAATAAACAAAATAAATCAAAGACTATCTGTCTGCTTCCCTTCCATGCATGTCTATGATCTGACCTTCAGGGTTTTCCATTTTCAGCTGCACGCTGACCACAGCAACACTGCTCTCATCTCCATTACAATGCCTCTCAACCTCCAGAGAGATGGTTCATCTCTCTCTGTGTGGCCACCGCTAGTGCTATGTACACAACTTCCTGTGAGAGAAGCACTTCCTCCCCCTCGTTTGTGTAATAGTTCAAATATTCTTCCTCCATAAAACCTTCTTTCCCAACAAAGCCATTTACAGATGCACTTAAATCAATATCAGTCCGAGGACAGAGTGAATACACACGGCTCCATTTAAAGAACGTTAGCCTAACACTCCTCGCGCTAAGTTAATGTGTTGAAGGGTTATCAAGCCCGCCCTCTCAACATGCAATCTACACACTGCCCGTATCAGAGGCACTCATACAGAATCCATCTATACCAATTACAGAACATTTTCCATCTGAAGACGTGGATACATTAAAAACTATTATCGCCAAGCACTGATGGATCACAGTGTTGGAGCAGCTAACATGTTTTTGTATGTCTAGGTAGGCGTGTGTGTGTGTGTGTGTGTGTGTGCTGGGAACCATTAAAGTAAATAAATTCAAAGGAGATACAAAGTCATTTAACACCGTCAGTCTAGCTCCTACGTTCACAGTCTAAATCTCTCCTGCAAAACAGCAATGTGAACAGCTGTACTCCACCGTAAACAAATCTGGACCTTTTATCTAAGGGTCCCGGTGAGGTTAAAGGTCAGAGGTTGGGCTTGGTTTGTAAATTACAGAGCGATTCGAGGTCAGCTCCCATATGACTGGACGTTTTTCTCCTTGTCTGTTTACCTCTGGTGTACATTTGAACTCTTCTATGTGCCAATTCAGCTAGAGAGATCTTGTTCACCAAAAATCAATTATTGGGAAATGAATATTGAGTAACACTTGCAATGAAGCCTGTATACATAATGTATTGATAATGTATTCTTAATGCATCTATAATAGCCTTAGAATAAGTTGCATGTTCTTGTAAATAACTGAAAGCAGTTATAATACATTACAATACTTATCTATTCATGAGGCCATCTTTAAAGAGCATAACATAATCCATTCATAATGCATTAGACTTTTTAAAGGTGTAGCCATGAATAGGTAAGTATTACAATATATTTTAACTGTAGCTTCAATTACTTATGACAAAATATGATTACAACGTGTATTATAGCGATAATGTATAACCCTATTTTACATACACACACACACACACACATATATATATATATATATATATATATATATATATATATATATATATATA